GTTCCTCACTACATCTCCTCCTTACAGTTGCAATATTTAAAAACATAACTCTCCACCAAAAGTATAGGCATCCTGCTAGAAGCTCCTATGGATGATAACCAATTGCAATATATCTCTAAAAAGTAAGAAAAGCCTAACGTAAAGAGTTCACTACAGTGAACTCTGAGTTATAAATACATCTCTCAGGATGTATTTAAGAGGGAGAAGTAAGGCAATCACAATCAAAAAAATTTCAGCTGAATCAAGTGCAAAGTCAAGAGTGGTTTTAGGTTTTCAAACAAGGCAGAGACAAGGTGGGGCACACAAATAAATAAATACTGCAACACATAGTCTTCTTTGATCAGGTTATCTTTTCTGAAGCAGAAACCGAGATGAAATGAAGAAATAAAGCAATAATTATGGGTGACTGAGTAAGAGGGGTTTGCTGTACAAGAGGACTGGATGGTGAATTAAATGCCAGCTGCAAAAGCAGCCACCTTAAAAATGTGCCTTGATGGACTCTAGAAAATCTAGGGAGGTGGTGCCAGGCCATGTAGGTACCAACACATAGGGTGCAGCAGGAGAAGAGATCTGGAATAAAACGTAGGTTAAGCTAAAGACCACACCTGAACAGCAACCGTCTTCAAAATGTTCCCAGAGCAAGGTGAAGAAGCAAATTTCAATGCATGCCTGTAAAAACAGGTGCAGGAGAGAAGAGTATAGATTCCTTAGGAACTAAAGAAACTGTTGGAATAGCAAGAATCTGTAAAAGAGCTCATTCTAGATCAAAAAGCAGCAGAATGCTGGTACTTAATAAAAGATGATAGGAAAGTTTTAAGCAATACAGCAGATAAAAAACCATCAGATGAAGCACATGCTCTCAATTCCTCTATGAATGGAGTCATAAAAACTTTGTATCTCTAGTAAGAGAGTGGACAGAAATTTTCAAAATTCAATTGAGAAAATATAAAAAATAACTCAAGCACATAGTCCTATTGAAGAAGGAACACACATACACACACACACACACACACACACACACACACACAAACAAAACATGTATATATATATAGCTTGGCATAAACACTAGAAGTACAGGATGGGAAACCCAAATGCCTGATTTTAATCAAGGATAGTGACACAATAGGCATACCAGAACCATGAGGGAAATAAGACAAATCAGTCTTATATACATATATATGCATATATACAAAATACACAGAAAGCCCTCAAACTAGACATCAAAGATATTAAATCATCAAATCAAATACGGATTGAAATTCCAGGTCTAATATGCTAAAATCTGTTGTTAGACTATGTTATTACCCACACAATTAAGATTATGGCAGTAGCTATGACATCCTGAGGGAGATTACGGACAATAAGGGAGACAACACAACTGTAATGAAAGTCTTCAACTATCAGCTAAGTTTGGTAAACATCACACCAAAGATGCCTAGATGTATATATATATAGCTTGGCATAAACACTAGAAGTACAGGATGGGAAACCCAAATGCCTGATTTTAATCAAGGATAGTGACACAATAGGCATACCAGAACCATGAGGGAAATAAGACAAATCAGTCTTATATACATATATATGCATATATACAAAATACACAGAAAGCCCTCAAACTAGACATCAAAGATATTAAATCATCAAATCAAATACGGATTGAAATTCCAGGTCTAATATGCTAAAATCTGTTGTTAGACTATGTTATTACCCACACAATTAAGATTATGGCAGTAGCTATGACATCCTGAGGGAGATTACGGACAATAAGGGAGACAACACAACTGTAATGAAAGTCTTCAACTATCAGCTAAGTTTGGTAAACATCACACCAAAGATGCCTAGATTACATTTTTTTAATAAATGATTCTTTCATGCAGTCGGTCAGGGACTCCAACTCTGGTTGTGGTCCCAAAGGAGCATACAAGACCTGGTTCAAAATGTTACTTTCAAAGACTGACTTTGTAATGGTAACTTTATTTCTGCAAGAATATTGAGCAAGTTTACTAATAAAGACAACATTCTACTACTGAAGCATTTACCTTCCCAAAAAGGGAGCAACATAAAAATACGGAAATACATTAAAACAAAACTAAAAGGACAAGCCAAAAAATTGGGCAATACAATGCTTGAAGAAAACACTGTGACTGCATATATTGAACTTCCACTATGACAACTTTAAATATACAGTGCCAACTTATACTTTGTTTGTGGCAGGAAGAGATGGGGAGGGACGGATGGAGAGAGCTGGCATGGATTAACAGCTACCAGAATCTAAAAGACAATCTTCAAAAAAAGCAGTAGTCTCATTTCAGCAGCTGGAGGGAGTCTGTCACTGAATGCAAAAGCTACAGACAGATCAGAGTTTAGAGGAACAACTTCCAAAAAGACATACAAACTGAACACCACAAAAGGTTCTTGTTCCTGAATAAGATGAGCAGATGATCAAAATAAAAAGCAAAGTGCTCAAAGGAGGTAAGGCCATAGGGGAAAAAAGGAAGAAAAAAAAAAAAAAACCAACCCTGAACACTAAATTAGTTCTTTGCCTCAAAGCAAAATGGTAGAAAAAGAGCTTACAGAATAAACAGTGACAAACTGCCAAGGCCAGGTGGTATCACTCCAGATCTAAAAGAAATCAAATAACCGCAGTGTGAAACTGCTCAGATAAAACTGCCTCATTGTCAGACAACTGGAAGTTGGCTAAAGTGACATCAGGCTTTTGGGAGTTTTTGCAGGGGAAAGGGTTATTTGTTTTTTTAAGAATTACAGATTAGTTACCTGTTCTCTGTACACAGCAAACTGCCAGAAATTGTTCTAAAGGTATATAAACAATTGTACAAACATACTGAGGAAAGTCAGTGTGGCTTTTGTACAGGGAAGTCACGTTTCACAAAAATTTTAGAGTACTTTCAAAGGTGAAAAGAGTATGTGAGTAAGGGAGATCTAATTAATACAGCATACTTGAAATTCTAAAAGGCATCCGACATGTTTCCTGACCAAGAAGCATTAAAGATTCTGGGCTGCCAAGGAGATAAGTCATCACATCAGTAAACTGTTAAAAAATAGAAGAGAAAGGATATGAATTTGTGGTCATTCTTTTCTAAAGGCATGGATCACCAACAGAATCCCACAGGCACCTTTTGGGCTAGTGCAGGACAACATACTCCTAAGTGTTTTGAGATAGCCATTTCTGAAGCACCCTATTTTCTGTAATGCTAATTTACTCAAATAAGTTACTCAAATCCCTTTACTCAATAAAGGGGTGAAGGAATGAAACAAAAGTTGCAGAGCCATTTCATCAGTTGAGCAAGTAAGTCTTAAAAAAAAAAAATCAGAAGATTAAATGCACTGTAGATAAATGAAAACGATTCACACCAGGGGGTAAAAAAAAAAAATCAGTCCTGAATACATATATGAGGAAAGTGGCTCCAAACTGACAATTAACTATTCAGGACTGAGTTATAGTTCATATATATATTTCTTAGATTCTGAAAATGTAAGCTTAATGGTCAGCAAAAGGCAAAACAATTAGGCACTGTTTTTTGACACAACACTAAAAAAAAAAAAAAGCACTCTCCAGTTTGAAAAGAAACTCTCAGGGCAGAATATGATAAAGGTCTACACATTCAAGAGTGGCATGGAGACAGCACAGAGGGTTTTTATAACGTCTCATCAAATATAAGTACCAGTAGGCCTCAATTAGAGCTATCAAATGGCAGGCTCACAACATATCAATCACAAATTGCTGGAGGATTCAAGAATATTTTAAGGAGACATCACCACCTACTTGACCTGTTATCCACTCTATGCATTCACTACCACCACTGTCTGAGACATAACACCAGGCCAGGCACAACCTTAGTCTGACAAATACAGATGGTACGTTCTTAGAGTAGATGTACACAGTAAATCCTGAAATGGATTACTGTTTTTACTAGGTTTCAGTTCTAATTTACCAGTTTGAAGAAAAGCATGAAAAAAACTTCTTAAAAATATGATTTTAAGGCTACTCACTTCTCATTCACGTCCTACAGCATATACAACAACTACAGTAATAAAAAACATAGTAATTGTTGCAACATTTTGGGAATGTTATGTAGCAGCAAACTGAGATTCCTATAAAGATGTTATCCCAGGTGTTAATCACAAATATAAAATAAAAGTGCTATTGCTAATAACCTATCCAATGAAACAATGAATAACAATAATTAGGTCCAGAGCTCACTAACCGGAAACTCTTTTTAGTCTTTTAGGTTTGGCTCATGGTAAAAACGTGTCACACAACCTTGGCTTGTAAGATACTAAGGACAGGTACGGGTAGCAGCCAACTTACTGACATACTACAGCTTGACTAGTAAAAAAGGGAGTATCAGCTGTCTTCCCTTACCTTCAGTGCCCTCTGAAAAAATTCATCTATACTTTGGCCAGTTCCTCCTAACATAGAGGAACAGAATTAGCAATTATATTTTTGGTACAAAGACACAGATGACACACAATTTTTCACAGCAAATAACACTTCTCAACAAAGAGATATTAGTAAGATAAGGACTCCTGATCGGGCTAACTCTAGCAATATTTTAGATTCCACAGTGAATAACACAATTTAGTTTAAAACCCCTGAAAATACAACCATTCCTTACATTGTTTCTCAATACCTACCATCAAGGAGCTTGAACATGCGCTGTTTTCTGGCACAAAGTCAAAATTTCTCAGCTGCACAAATGAAGAAAATCTCAGACTTTCAAGACTCCAACTTACCATCAGTGAGATCTCTTCCTTCTGCACTTTAGTTTGTGTCAGGAGGGCAAGTAATTTCAAAACCTGAACCAACATCTGGATCATGATGCAATGCACACTGGAGCTAAGACATGAAGGTCCTAAACCACATTCATAGTTTTCTTCGGAAAAGATAAACACATCAGCTACCAAAAATTACTTGATCTCAATTGAAAAGCCTGAGGTCAAACTTTTGGTAGTATTTCAGCAAAAGAAGAACACTCAAGAATGTCTACAGCTGAATAATTATTCTGCTTCAAAAGCTGCTTCGAATAAGATACATGGCTATTTTATCGATTGTACATACATACTAAAGAACATCAGCATAACATAGTTGAACTGAGTTTTCAAGTATACAGCAATACACTGGACTTCACACTTTGGAAGTGTTATTTGTTTCTACCTATGTTTCAAGTCAGTGAAAAGGCACAGCTACTTTTACACCTTTTATGTAGAAGGCCTGCAACTGTACTGTTCACAGTGTATTTTCAGTTCAAACTCAGAATTTTACAAAATTAGCATCTCCAATGACCAATCAGGAGTCCCTCAATATATGCTCAAGTGCTGCTGAAATAAATGAGTGCTGTATGCATATTTAAGAATAGAACTGAGCAGTTTTTCCTCTTTATAAAAGTGCATCACATATCATTAAATCTCCTAAAGACAATTCAGGTATGCTGGAGGATCTAGAAGCTTCTAGCTTTGTAATTTCAGCTACAAACAAACAAAAAACAAAGAAAAGCATTTTCTAGGGATTGATAAGAATAAAAAATTAAACAGTTCACAATCTTCTCCCTACCTGAAAAACCTGATGCAATCGTAACTGCCAACCAATAAACATGCCTCCACATTTTATTTATAATTGTGTAACATAATGATTGAGAATATAATTTCCACGCTATCCCAAACTGGAAAACATGACTTTATAAAAATATAGTGCTCTTAAGATATATCAATATACTATTCAAAATTATCATCATTCCAAACCAGATCTTTTTTAAAATTTTATGTTACATACACAGACTTCATAATATCATATGGATTTTTTCAGGTAATTAAACATATATGCTGCACTTTATTACTTACGAAGTACTACTCTGACTAGAGTGTATCAATTCCATTATGAACGTCAATCTTCAACTAAGCTTTTTGTCCCCTCCCTTTGATTAGTGTATAAGTACCATTGTGACATTTAAGTTTGGTATTCAATGTAGCATTTAAGTCAGAAGCTGCAAGCCTCCATCTACAATTAGAATACTCCCTGTAACATAAGGAGATTCTAGCAGAAAGACAACCGCTTGTGCAACTTCATGAGGCTGTCCAAATCTTCCAAGAGGAATTGTTTTCTTCAACTGATCTTCTTCCAAATGAGCGGTCATCTCTGTGTGAACAAAGCCTAGGAGAGGAGAAAATTTGAAGAGTTACATAATCTCCAACGAAATTTCTCAAGCTCATTTTTCCTGGAAACCTCCCAAGTGAAAGCTATGACCAAAATTCAGCACACCGGCTATCATTCTTCAAAGCTGTAGTAGTCAGTTCACACCATTTTATAGCTGGGGACAACTTTTTTTTGGTAACCAATACAATGTCTTCCAGTTTTGTAAGCACTGATGTAATAATCCAAATGCAGAATCTCTAAAAGTCTATGAGAAAAATCCTAACTCTATAAACTTGGGCCCAAATCCCATATTTGGGATCACTTCTCTGGAAGATAAAATACATTCATTTCACCAAAACACTTTCCATAAAAACTGATATGAAATCTATGGCAAGAAACATCTATAGCTTGCAACTGTTTCCATTATATTTTATAATGGAAATTTTAATATATTAAATATATTACAGCACTTGCATAATTTCTATCATTGCACTTATTTTAAGAACATTTCTTCACAACTTTGGAAAATATTTCTTTGCAATTTTCAATTAACTGAGATTCAGTTTTCCCACATTGTTGCATTTCTCTTCACATAAGCTGCAGCTTCATAAAGAGCTGATCTGACCTAATGTCTAGCTGCCACTAAGAGGGGAAAGGGAAAGTCTCAGTTCTGCTTTCTGGTATACAGCTCTGCCTCTTTGTGATGGCTCTGGAGCCTTCTATGAGTTGTTTGATTCACTAAACAAGAAAAATATTTTTCCTGCCTGGTTCAGGTAGAAGTCTTAATGGCATCAGAACTCCACAAGCTGAGCACCAGAGCACGCAGCCACGAGTAGAGAAACTCAGGAAAGCCAGAAGAGATTTTCTCTCAAGAGGTGGTGATTTATTAGACCGGAAGAGATGAGCCTCATCTTCACAGAACTTTCGTTCTAGATTCTGTCCTTTTACTAAAATGGGAAGACAGGGATGCCTTCATGCCTGCTTCTCATGGTCTTTAACACTTCTCTAATAACAAAGAAGCATTCTCTAGCAGAACAGGAGGATAGCTACCTGCATATAATTATTTCTAACCCTCCACCTGTAAGGATAGCAGGTGTTGAAGGAGGAACAAAGCAAAAAGCCGTTATGTAACAAAGGGTAGAGGAACAGTAAGATCCACTCCTCCAAATTTCCCAGCGTTCCCTTCAAAAGAGGGAACTGTTACTGAAAGAATGCATTATACTTTAAACTGAAAAGACAGGAAGACTACTTACTTATACAAGTTAAAGAAAATATCTTACGTTTCTACTCTCTCAGAGTAGAGCAAACATCCAGCAGTCTTGCAGATCAGTTACCGCAACAGTCAAAGATTGAGTAACTTCACATAAACTAACCTGGAGCAACCACATTCACTCGAATTTTCTTTCTTCCTACTTCTTTAGCAAGAGAGCGTGAAAATCCAACTAATCCTGCTTTGCTAGCACTGTACACGCTTTGACCAGAGTTGCCTTTAAGTCCTACAATACTTCCTAAAAAAAAGAAACATCAAAGAGAAGAAAAGATCAAATGACTAATTTGGATGCTTATACTAGTTTTATCATATTTGTTTTAAAATCAGAATTAAAATGAGATTACAAAAAAAGGAATAAAAAGTATGTTAGTAAATATGTTCTATAGCCTACTGCTAGGATAAGCAAATCCCTCAATTATGTGTGATTTTTGTGGAATGCACATACATATGTTGACTATCAGGTGCCAGGAAATTAAAGCAGAAAGCTGTTTTAAAAAAGTATTCTTGCACAGAACTCCCCCCAACACCTGTACCTATTTGATTCTAATTAATTACTGATAGCTGGTAAATTTAGCTGCTGAAAGAGTTGATAAAGCATGATAAAATTTTCTTTCTGAAAAAATATAAACCGAGGTGTTATATTATGGACACAAGCTGTTTTTATAATTTGCTGAAGTTGCATAAGAGAGAAGAATCATAAAGAAATGCTAGAAACACAATGACTAAACAGAAAGAAAACAGTCAATTATAAAAAAATATTTCAACATGTTACACCTACTACAACATTTGATAAACCCGGTTTACATATAATGCCACCGAATTAGAATAGCAACTTACCTACGTTAACAATAGCACCTCCCTGTTGTTGAATCATACTTTTCACAGCAGCTTTACAGGTCAACATTGTTCCCAGAAGGTTAGTGTGAAGCTGAGATATCATATCTTCCGTCTTGGTTCTCAGTAACAAGCCATCCCTACAAATGGACCAAAAAAAAAAAAAAACAACAACCCAAAAGAACTCATGGGACTACCCAATAATGACATTTACGCATGATAAAACTTGACAAATGAATGGTACTGCAATAGGCATTTATGCGGTTCTACACAACCTAGTATTCAAAATTATGAAACTGCAAGGATTACACATAGCAGAAAAAAGGAAAAGATAAGCTGGTCTTCTGATAACAAAGACCATTATTGCAAAGAAGTATCAAACATTGTTTTCGAACAATTTTAGGGGGGTGAAGTGGAGGAAAGAGGAATAGCGAGGGGACAGATTCAGAAGCTACAGTGAAAGCTATTATCATCTACCAGAGTTACTTCCACTAGAAATAAAATATTAGCAAATGCTTAATTCCTTTTTTCAGACGCCCTCATTAATAACACTCTTAATAAACGTAAAGGCCCTCTTCTATATTTAGCACCTTACAAGAAGATGGTGTGGTCTAGGATTACATATAGCATTGTAACTAATAACTAACCTGTTGATCCCAGCTGCATTAACCAAGTAATTAATAGGACCTAAATTCCTCTGCATCTCTTCAAAAGTATTCTGGACATCTTGTTCTCTGGATACATCACAGCTAAGCGCCAGATGCCCTGCTGTATTGAAATAAAGTCACATTAAGATAATAGTAAAAGATTCTGCATCATTCATAAACCTTCTTTCAAATCTATAAATTCAGTTGTAAAAACAGATGTAGAATTAGTTTTAACTTGAGAGACCCAATTGAATATGGACAATTTGCAAGTATTGTACTAATTAATTATCAGGTAATTTCTTGTTTTATATTTTTGGCCTTTTAAAATTTGAAGTTCAGCATAGGCAGGTTGGTCTCAGTTCTGGCCTGGCTAGGAACCAGGAATGAGTCAGCTCATACAAACTCACTTGTGTGACCTTGAATAATTCCCTTAATATCACCTACTCTATCTGTAAGATATGACTGGCAATGCACTTCACTTTCCCTAAGTATATTGTGAAAATCAAATCATATTGATATAACCCTTTTTTTTTTTTTTTAATTTCGCAGCTTTATTTTAATCTGTCTCTAGCTAAAAATCAGGTTTTAGTTGACCTACTATTGACTTACTAATAACCTACTATTTTTACAAGTTGCCTAAGCTTTGGACAGCGAAGAAAGCATTGCAAAACAGCATACATACCTCCAAGATGATGTGCAGTGGCTTGGGCTACCTCCAGATTTCTAGCAATAATCGCCAGGCGGCAGCCTTTCTGTGCCAGTAATTCTGCAACAGCTTTTCCTATTCCTCGTGATCCTCCAAAAATGGCACAAACCTTGCCCATCTTCAAAAACAATCCAAAAATGGCAAATAAAGCAATGGAAAGTGATTGACAGGAATTTCAGGTCCAATATAGCAGAGTGGCCATCATTCTTGCCAATATCACAGCTCCTACTAATCTGCAGCATTTTATAATATGGATTATAAAATTAGTGATTTCTTACTTTTCTCTTTCACCAAAAAGCTGAATCAAACATGACACCGCTACTACAAATAAATGCAAATTAAAAGCTTCAGCAATAACATTCTATTGGTATTTCTGAACTAGCCATAAAAATTATTGCTTGTAATTTAGCACTTCAATACTAGCGTTATGGTAGCTCCAGCTCAGTTGATGAAATATGATTTATGTATTGAAAGGCCATAATGTACTATTCGACTAATATTTATCACTAAAACATTATGATAAATATTCAAAGCCAACATAGCAGTCGTAGCTATACTGCTCTTGCACTATTTCAGTACTAAAGACATTTGGTCTCAAGGTCTCACTCCATCCTGCATAAGACATCCAAACAGCACACATCACTTGAGCATGACTCAATAACATTAGGTTTACATTACCAGTTTTAGTTTTTTGTTTCTGCTTTTAAAGAAATAAAAAGCTTTTTGAAATTGAAATCTGAAATCATTCTGAAATAGCTAGCTTAGATAAAACGTGACAGTTGCTTATGAAGGAGCGTTAAGAAGCAAATCCTTGTACAGAATGATCTTCCATTCTGCAGCCTCTAAAAACCAATCAGTGGTTTAGTGATTTCCTGAGCCAGAGGCAGAGTCCAAACAATAACATTTAATACCAATGAACCTCTTTTCCATAAATTTGAATAAATTCCTTTTGAACCCAATTATGCCTTCAGTCGCCATAACATCCTGGGGCAATAAGTTTCATTATTTGTAGGAAAGTACTTCCTTTTGTTCTTAATTTACTTTCTGATTAGAGAATGCTATACATTTTTCCTCATATCTTCTTACTGTTCATGTCTTCCTAGACTATGCTTCTGTATTTTACCTTCCCCTCTATATCCTCTTTGAGGTCTATTTAGCTGCTCTTACATGTATGGAAGCCATTCCACACCTACTTAAAACCTGTCCAAGCTCATGAATCCTGTCACCCTATCCCATGCCTTACTTAGTTCTATTATATCCTTTTTGGTTTGTGGTAACTAGAACTGCACATAATATTAAGCATAGAGGCACATCATGAATTTATATAACTGCATAATGATTTCGGTCTTGTCACAGGGCCTGAAAGAGCAGCTGATCCTTTTCTGTAATAACAAGTAAGCACAGGTGCTTGAAGTCAACCCATGTGTCTGCTTCCCAGCTGGCAAGTGTAAATTGGCTTTCAGCTTAAGAGTGGCAAGAGAACTAAATGCTTGCATCTCAGGTGGGTGCCCTTCAAAGAGGGGCATGTATAAAAAGACTTCCACCATGAAGACAACTCATGAGAAAAACGGGCACTACTGCCTCACCACAAAGACTAATCTTGTGGGTAGTCTTTGTTAGGTAGGTAGTTTGGAAGAGCTGGAGCAACCGGTCTTGCACCCAAATAACCACAGCACTTACTGTCTTAGCTGGCTAGAGGCATATCTGATCTCTGCTTTGTTGTCAGCTCTTTTATTAGAAACACACAGTATTCAGTTTGCCTTCTCGACCACGACTGATCTATTCTTTTAGAGAATTATCCAAAAGGATTCTTTCAAGTTCTTGACTAGTTGTTGCAACAACATTGTAGTGGGCTTTTTCCCCTTCTGTACACGTTATTTTACTCTTACAAGCACTGAACTTATCCATTCTCTTAATTTGAATCACAGGCTAAAAGGGATCTCTGGAAACCATCTGTTCTAACTCCTCCACCCAAAGCGCTGTCAGCTTAGATCAGGTTGCTCAGGGCCTTGTCCGGTTGAGTTCTGAATATCTCAAGGCTCCTCATAATTATGAAAAAACTCATGATGAGTTTTAAATATTCCCTTAGTCAACATGAGTTACCTCTGCAACTTTTCAGTTTTGGGGTTAATGACAGCGAACCAACTTTTGCTGTTTACAAATGCTGTCAGACCAATGTACATTCTTTTCCAAATAATTCTAAACATGCTTAGCTACGCATCTCAGCAAGGCAATGTTTGTACAACATTCCCATGAAATCTTGTGGGGGGGGGGG